GGCGAGGAATTCGCAACCTGCCCGCGAGGTCATGCATAAGACCGACCCGTTTTGAAGCAAGTGAGACCCCTTGTGAACCATAGCACCTTCGAGTTTAAAACAGGCTTCGTGTCGCTAAAAAGTCTATGGGTATTCGGAGTCCAAAGGGAATAGAAATCTTAAGGACGCCATGGGCAGTTCATTGGGTTTCCCAACTCATAGGGGGCTTCTCAACGGCAAGGAAACTTTTTCGGTAACTAAAGTGAGCCCTCAATATCCAAAAGAGTCCCTGATCGGCCAGAGGCAGGGACAGGTCTTTGAGTGCTGGATATGACCGCCGCGAGTCCTGAGTGACTCCGAGTGGCCCACTGAACTGACAACAGCCAAAAAGTCTCTTAAAAAGTGAGAGAAGCTTTCAAATAGTCAAGAGAGCACCGAGCAGCTTAACAGGTGTCCAGGATGTCGTGAGGATACAGGCAGGGATCCTGAGCAACTATCATGTCTCTCAGCGGCTAGTAGTCCCTCAGGAGCCCGAGGAGCCCTGGAGACGCCTGATGGGCCCCGGAGCAGCCTTAAAATTTCCAAGCGACCAGATGGGCACTGGTGCAGGACGCATCCACGGTGGGTTTGCGGCGCACTGCGACGCATCCACGGTGGGTTCGCGGCGCACTGCGACGCATCCGTCGTAGGTTCGCGGCGCTCTGCACTGCATCTACGGTGGGTTCGCGGCGCGCTGCGACGCATCCACGGTGGGTTCGCGGCGCGCTGCGACGCATCCACGGTGGGTTCACGGCGTGCTGCATTGCATCCACGGTGGGTTCGCCGGGCAGGAAACATTTGATGCGGTGCAGCAGTGGCACTTGTTCGCTCCTTCATGGGAGTAGCATCGCGCTGTCAGTGCATGCATTTCCGTCGGTCTGACCGCCCGGCGCGCCACCGAGACCTGGACGCCACCTAGCAATGATGATGTTGCACGACATCACCACCGGCAACTGGGCTTGCAGTAAAGCATGTTAGATCACCATGCGTGTATAAGATCTTCACAGAAAAAGAATCATCTCATACAGATCACCAGAACCAGACCACGGACCGCGGACCACAGATCACAGACCATAGACCACCCTATCCGAACGCCCAGATGTCGAACTCATCCACGTGAAGGCTTTTGCGCCTTTCACTGGTTCGTTGCACCGGAGAGGGCGCCATGTCAGCCACGTTCAGCTTGCCACCGCCGGTGGGGTTCGATTGCCGTCGGTTCCTTGTCAGGTCGCCGCCGAGAGCCGCGTGAGGGCGGGGGGAGGGGGAGGGGGACTTCTTCCCCGGTTCGGATCCCCATTGGCGGGCATGAGGGATGATCTACCTCTGCGTTATGTGCTTTTCAGCAAATCTGCGCATAAGGCGTTGGTGATCTGTGCGATCAGGACCTCGATATCATCACGGCGGCGCGGTGCGAGGGAACAGTGGGTCCTCGTGAGATTTCATTGGAGTGTCGTAAACTGTCGTGACTTTGGCAACGTCGTTTGACCAAGCCCCCATTGGACTCAGCTATGACTGGCGTAGAAGACTAGACACGCGCTCGGCGTAGAGATATCAGCCAAGCACTGCAATGCTGAACATGCGTACTTGCAAATCTTAGCACAAAAAACCGACGCCAGGAGCTAAAGTCTCCGTGGACTGCGCAGCGTCGGCCCCGCGACTTATATTAAGTCGTGGACAACAAGCGAGTGAAAAATGTGACGCATCTGAGGGGGCCCTTAAACGCTTTAGGATATCCAGTTATACATTTAGAGGGTGCGTATATTTCATTTGTGCGATTTTAGACTGATGATAGGAACAGACTGGCCTTTACAGCACCGCGAAATGGTGCTGAGATCTGGTGGTGGAAATGGAAGAATAAAGGTAGAATCTCGTTCTTTCGTGCTGCTGTAAATGTTAATCTGTCAGCCTCAGCAGTCTCAAAGTTGTAAAAAGATATGCTTAGTCTTATCTTTGAAAAGTACGAATAAATTTTGAAAGACATTCGGAAGCATAGTTCCGCGATGGTCGCTTTCGCGTGCACGGCACCCGCCGCCTGATGTTACTTACAGTGGACAGCACCGTTCGGTTTTACGAACGCTGCAAATCCGACCATCGATGTCTTTGCTGCCGAGACTACGAGTGAGCAGGCTCAAACCTTTTGACTTCGTTTGATTCACCAGTCGATTTTGCAAAAGAATGACGTTCTTGGGCAAACATGGGAGGGGCCTATCAATTGTTTAGGTAATTTTGTCTCACTCTATTAACAGTAATGAGACCCCATACCTTTTTCCAGGCAAGGGGCCCGTTGAGAAGAATACTAGCGGGTACATTGTTGTCCCCGGTCAAGAGATGAAGGGTCATTCCTTCCCACCGCGGGATGTCTTCCCACTGTTATTCTGGCTACACGGGGACGGGTCCCCCGGTCGATCCGAAGGCCCTTGGAGGGATACATGATATCACATTGGTCGCCTCCCTGGCACAGGAGGCCTTCTGACTCGCGTAGTTGGCCCAGGATAGACGCACGAACTCTCATTGACGCAACAAGATTCCTGATCGCTGCAGGTAGACCAGTAAATGGCACAAATACTCTAGTTCGGCTTAACGGGGTCATGCTGGAATAGGGCGGGAGGGGCCATCGTTCGGTATTGGTGGCTATGACTGACACAGGATACTCATATTGTCTCAATATGAAAACCCATCATAAGTGATCCTGTTCCCCTTTCGCTGTAAGAGGACCTGACCAACACAAGAGAGTCCTTCGTATTCGTGGTCCCATCCCTGTCTCTGTCCAGCAAATGTTCCCTGGCAGACTTGAGGATCTTTATCGACACAGGACAGGCTACGACTTTGTTAGCACAGGACGGTACCCTGTTAAGCACTGTGGGTTCCCGAACGCTGACCGATACAGGAGCTCCGCATAGTAGCAAGGGCCCGACCCATGTAATTTGCGGCCCGGCCTTGTCCCGGCCCGGAAAATGGGCCCCAGAGCTCAGACCGACACGGTGCTGGCTGTTCGGTGTCGGTGATCCATGGCCGAAACAGAGGCCCGCACTGTCTCAGGGGTCCTCAATCAACGCAAGAGGCCCTCTTATTGACATTTGAGATTACGGCCCTACGGGGGGGGGGGGGGGCTTCTTAATGTGATCTACAGCCAGCCTTTTGGCCCTTTAGCGTTCCAGTCGGGCTCTTTGGTCTCGAAAGAACTTTTGGCTCCTCTTTTGGCCCTCTCAACACACGGCTCCTGCCCGACTCGGGGCCATTTGCCGTCACAGGACCCCTGTTAAGCATTGTGGCCTCTGACCTACACATGAGCCCCGCATGGTGTCAGGAACCGCGAACATTACAAATCGCGGGCCCTGGCCTAGTTCCTGCTCGGGAAATGGATCCCACGGGCTCAGCCGGACACGGAGCCGACCATTTGGCTTCGCGTCAAGGCCCTATGTAATAGGAATAGGTAGCCCTAATAAGAGGTCCCTAATAAAAGCACTCTAACTTACAGTTCAGGTCACAGCACTAGGGTGAGGTGGGGGGAGGGGACTGGGCACGAGTCTGATCGGCATCGATCTCTGGTTCCGGTGGACCCTTTAGGCTCTTTGCACCTCCTCGAACACGGCCTCTGGCCGAATAGAGGCCCCTAGCCAACACAGGAACTCCTGTTAGACGCTGTGGGGCCCTGATAAACCCTGGGGTCCCGGCCAATGTAAATCGCTAGCTTTGGTCTTGTTCCTGCTTGAGGAACAGGCCCTTGCCGACATGAAATCGGCTGTGTAGTACTGGCGGCGTCCGACCGACACACAGGCCCTGATCGACTCAGGAGGCCCTGATCGACACGCAGGGCCTTCTGGTTGGCATTGAAGTGTCAGGCTCTCCGGGCCGGTGCTAACTGAATCCGACCTCCGGCCGGCCTCCCAGCCCCTTCGGACCATCAAATCGGGCCCTTAAACAAAGATCTCCTTGGAACTTAGGGGGGGGGGGGGGGGGGGAGTACGTGCACATGTGTCCCTCTGCATGCGCTCCGCGGTACTGCCACATTGGCTTCGGCTGCTCAGGTAGGAATTATAAGTCTGCAGACGTACTGTAAATGCTGACTTATCGTCTGATCGAGCGGAAGTCATGCCAATCGTATCAAACAATCATTGGCGGCATATCAGTCGATGGCATAATTGTTGGTACTTTGCATTCCCGATACAACGTGTCCCATGTACAGCTAATACAACATGTACCGCCCAACATCTTGGAAGAAAGTTTGCGCCACCCCGACATATTTTGCAAGTGAGCGCCAAATGTTTGGACGTAGACTTTAAACACATCTTTTCAGCCATCACCACAGTTTTCAGCGGTGTGCAAAAAAATTATTTTTGTCGCCGCCACCCCAAGACACGTGCACGTATGCAGCCAGAAGTTGACTGGATGATAATGGGTGTTGCTGCAGGTCAGCCAAAGGACTCAAGACCGGTATATATCACATAGATTTAGAGTAAATCGTCCTGATACTACTGCTACATGATGCGACTCACCCCACTCTCCTCTACAAACATGTGCGGAAGACACGCGTGTAGAAGTCAATGCACGCTTGAAGACCAGTTTGCTACTGAAAGAAGATAGCTTGCCATATACAGCACAAAGTGATGCATCATGAATCGCTGTTTGCAACACAGTCGTAGAAACGTGGTCCTAAAGTGTCTTGAATCGCACGAAGACTGCATCGCGCACACAGCACACTAACCTGGCGGGTTAGCTTTCGCTGCCTTGCTTGCAGTCGTCGCTAATCGCCGGTGCCAAAAACCTCGCCCAATTCACAGCCCTCACGACATCCTGGACGAACGCGCAAGCTGCGTGCTTGCGCCCTCTGTGTCAGGAAGAACCCATAAAAGGCCACGGCGAGGCGTCCTGCTTACCCTTAACGGGAGAGCGCCTCGTCGACCAATGGGACGCAGCGGGGGGCGTGGCCTAACGCCGGGATGGTACCCGAGACTGATCTGGCGTATTGCTGCCGTCTCGCCCGATGAAGTGCTGCCGCGCTCCGCCGTCGCTCCAGGTGAGGGGGCACATGCCGTGCTCATGTACCCTGACGTGACCACGTTGTCTGATGCCGCCTGCTACTGAGCAGCCCGGGCCCTGGGCGTGGAGAGCCACTTGATCGGCCTCATACATTTTTTAGACGTTTTTCCTGCCAAGGTATCATGTGCGAGTGATGGATTAACGTAAGTCGTCAAATACCATGTTGCGCAATGACAGCCGCATGAACTGCGTCAACATCTTATTGTCAGTCTTCTCGCATTGCATGCTGGTATATCAGATTCACCCTTTTCTAAAAACGGATCGCCATATTCAATGTTGTTAAACCACTTGCTCTTCAGCATGCCATTCACTGCACGCACGTGTCAGGGCAGCTAATCATCCGAGTAAATTCAGAGCAGCTCTGAACCGCGTTTTGTGCTGTTTAAGGGGGGGGGGGGCAAACGGAGCTCCCGTAACTCCACGCTATGTGTAAAAAACTGAAATAATGGCAAGTGGGTGTTCCCAGAGCATTTTGAGGCTATCCATAGACGTCGTGCCCGTGTCGTTAAGTTTCTTGTACTCGTACTGACTTCGGAAGTTCGGAAGTTGTTGTTGGTTTGGCATAACATAACTCAACAACATCGGCCAGCAATACCACCTTAATCCACTGAGGTCACCCGCCTATCTGTGACCCAGTGTGTGAAGTGCAACGCTCCACACTGAGCGCCGGCTCCGCTAGCGACACTGCGGCTCGACGCGCCGTTTGAAGCGGTTCCGACACACCTGCGTGCCGAGCCAGCACGGGCCGCTGGCGAGCGTTGCCAACAGTGGTGCCCAGCGCCTGGACCGGTGGGCGGTCAGGTCCGGGAGACATTGCCGACCGTGGTGCCCAGCGCTTGGACCGCTGGGCGGTCAGGTCCGGGGGACATTGCCGACAGCGGTGCCCAGCGCTTGGACCGGTGGGCGGTCAGGTCCGGGAGACATTGCCGGCAGTGGTGCCCAGCGCTTGGACCGCTGGGAGGTCAGGTCCGGGAGACATTGCCAGCTGTGGTGCCCAGCACTTGGACCGGTGGGGGTTCAGGTCCGGGAGACCTTGCGCGTACTGCACGCTGCCGTCGGGTGGCCCGGTGCGGCCAGCGGCGGCACGGGCCGGCACTCCGTGACCCTGCTGACCCGGGCTTCCCGGCGGAAGTCCCGCACCGCAGCTGTCGCCGGAGCCAGTCGGCAGCGACCCGGAGCCGTGCCGATACACAGCATCGGGTTTGAACTCGGGTGTATCCCGTTAAAAGTAGAGGCAATGGTGCCTTGTGGTCTGCTTACTGAATTTAGTTTCGTCTGTGTTATAAACTGGATAAATACACTACCTCAACCAGGTATCTACTAAGTTTTTAAAAATATATGTGGACCGTCATGCGCAGAGGAATCAGTTCGATCCAAAATGTCTTTGATATTCTTTTTCCAGAATGAGCGAAAACAAATGTGACACCGAAAAGCACTTTTCACCTCAAGTATACACATACTATTTAAAAGATTAGTCATTTTTTATTTGCTTTCGGGTTTCTGTTTTTGATAACAACATGGCATGATGTTAGCACCTCTGCCGCCTACTCGCCCGTCACTTCATACACGCCAAGGCCAAATCTTTGTGCAAAAAAGCCAAAAGAAATATTGAACTGATGAGGCTGACATGAAATGCATGGGGGGGGAATGTATAGCACTTTGCTACGCATTTGACTCAAATATATGTGTAGGTAGGCAAAGCCCCTTTAAGTAAAAAGTAAGTCGTTGAACCAGACCAAGCTTGTGCTAATTCTGGCGCAGTGTTTTTCCTTTTAGCTCTGTTTAGCTCTGTTTAGCTGTTTAGCTGCATAGCTCCTCCTTATCTGACACCTTAGAACAGTATCCACTAAAAGTGGCTTAATTAATCTAAATGAGTTGTGGGTTTGAGGAAGCGTCAGATGACCAGACCTTTTCTGAGTCTTTTCTGAAACTGGGCGCTGACAACAACCGCCTTGAAAAGCATCCAATGCGGCGTATTACGACTGGCGTTCGATGGACCGACCGGCTGCGAGGAGGGGGTGGCAACGAAGGCAGGAGGCAGAGAGCAAGATAGTGTAACGCTCGGTAAAGCCAAGCCAAAGCCACAACACAGACCCTGTGCTATGGCGTTGGCCGGCTGGCGTTATTCAAATGACCATTTTGGGATGAAATAGCCAACACGGAAAAAGTTGTGGTTGAAAAATTATCTGCTCGTAACATAAAATAACATGATTTATGCAATACATGAACTTTAAAATTATGGCACCCATGTTAGTTGACGTTGCCACCTGACCTTTTGTTTGTATCTACTTGTAGCCACCTGATGTTTATCATATAACTTTTATAAAGATAGGTAGCTTGTAGACAATGATAGTTTAGATATATTAATAAAGTAGTGCTCGAAAATGGTCCAACAGGTAAAAGTTATAAATACAGAATAAATTATGATGTAATCTTTGTAAAAAATGAGCTTCGAGTTACAGCAGGCAAATCAGCTGACCTTTTCAGCGGACGTCTTGTTTACATTTGGGCTACAACTGCCTTTGGACATCTCCGGAATGGAGGAAAAACATGTGCTGATCTGAAATTGTTTCGATCCATGCTGCCGGCGTCACCTAGCAGAGAAGTGGAAGGCTGCAGACCCTCGCGATAACACCAGAATAAGCTGTTCTCTAGTTAGATATCCTGATTAGCAGCCGTCTCCTGTGAAGTCGCATTTGTTCAGGAAACTGTACCCCGTTCCACCACTTAACCGTTTCCTTGTTCTAGCCGTATCAGGGTTGGCGCCATCAACTCTCCAATATCAGTTGCATAGCCCTTTCACACATCCAGGATGGGCGTCATTTGTTGGCAGCGTTTTGCTGATGTCCCGCCATGCTCGCTTGGCGAGTGCACAGTTGTGTTGCCGAAGCCGAGTGTTGAAAGTTGTGCCGCTGGCGTAGTGAAAGTAAATAGGAACAAACGGGGATATCACTTTTTAAAACTCGATTGGGGTCTCAGCTGATAAGGTCCACCAAATGTGCCACAAAATCCTGATGTCTCCTAGAGTTTCTTTCTCATAACTTTGTGCTCCCGGTGTCAGATTGTTTTGCGTGGGGGCGGGGAAAGTCGCCTGATTAAAAACAAGCAAACAAACAAAAACGGAAGAACGCCTCCCCATCTCGGGTCCATGTCGAACTACAGCTCTGTGAGCTGTAGTTCGTGAGCTCCGTACATTGGACTGTAGTGAGCTCTGTGAGCCCTGTACATTGGATGCCATTCACAAAAAGCATTGAAGTAAAATTATAGGACATCACCACCGAAAATAGGTCTCGTTTTATCATTCAAAGGTGGTTGGAGGTGCAAAACGATAGTTTTATACGGAATGACGTGGCTTCATACGCGCAGAATAAAGAAGACCCTGTGCACATAATTCATTTTCCACGGAGAGACAACGGAAAATGCATCACGTGCGCCGCCAGCAAGAACTTACACCCAAAAATGAACCTGGACTTGTCTGACCTCAGCAGCCATGTCAACAACTGGTATAACAGATTGGCTTAAGGCCGCCAACGGGACGGGTTACTAGAAGGGTCGTCTCAATAAAAAGCGCGACCAACGCTTTGACATAGGTCTGAAGCTTATGTTGGCAAGAAATGCCTTGCACTCGTGTGCTCCGACATTGTGGGTTGGGTGTTTGCTGACAATTTTTGACCCTTCCCTGAACCAATCTCTGAGGCACCTCCGTTTATGTCGGTACTTAATGCAGGGCACGTATGAATATGTACGCGACTAAGTTTGGAATCGATTATTCCACACAGACAGGTCAAAATGACAAGACCGAAAGCATGCGATCATGTTTTGCGACACACAAGAAATTTGCGTGCGGCCGCGGCGTGCTTAGCTTTTATTATCGATTTTTATCGATTGTTATTGAGTTGTGCACCCATGCGGAAGTTATCCCTGAGTGCGCTGCTGTTAAACAAACATTTGGTTTGTACTAACTGCACTAAAAGGTGAAACAAAACAAATCATCTGCATGTGAAACTCGCGTTTGAAGATGGCAAACTGCGCAAGCAGGTAAATATCACCGTGCTATCGAGTGTTTTACACGGCCTTGGGTACCGTCAACTGGTGGTGGAAGGCTCAAAGTCCATGCCAGTCCGAGCAACCCTCGAAACTCCAGCGTGTCAGAAAATGACTGGAATGCCGGCTGGGATTTTAATTCGCCGTACATGTGTCAGACGACCGAATGCAAAATGCACGTGAAAGGGCATACTATATAAGGTCTTTTGTAACCTCTGCCCTGAAGTAATGCATGAAGGCAAGCGAAACGTGCTGTTTGTGGCCGGTTTATGTGGCCGGCCTTGGAAACGCACGTGTATGGAGAGCGTACACACCGCTAGGTGAGCCCATGGTAGCCTGATACGCGGCGACAGAATCTAGTGCACCACATGCCTACTTTTAAGTACAAAATTTAGCCACTGCAAAAGATCACGCGGATCTCAGGATATTAGAACCACTGCATAGCCGTAAAATTCTCCCGAGGTTGAACACGCAAATGACGTGTTAGACTTAAACGCTCTTACACTTAGTTTGTGAGCAGCTTGACATGCTTTTTGAGCTATGCCGTCTAGTCATGTATATTCAGAAAAAAGTTCTCTATTTGCTGTCGCGAACATTAACATCCGCCGGCCATTTCCTTTCCCTGCTTTTGCTCCGTACGAGTCATCGAAACCTTTCGGTCTGGCCGCCTGTGTTTCGGGCAGCCCTTGACACAGTGTCGCGCATTGGGTGGTCTGACGCCCGAGTAATTGTCCAGCCTCATAGAGTCCTTACACCTTAGGACAAGCGACCGTATGACTTTAGCCTAGCTCAATTAAAAGCTGCTGCATATTGTGGTCTATGTTTTGTTTTCGATTCATGTGCTATTTCGCGGAAGATCTGGCATATTTGCAAACTGACCTAGCATATTGTGACGTGTTGCATGTGCACGCCTTAGTGATTGTGCATGCACTG